CCATCAACACAGGGAAGCAGCCAAAATGCGGAAACACAGAGGCATATCATGAAAGGGGGCAATGGAAAAAAGCAAACTATGGGACGACATGGAGTTCAGGACTACATTGCTAAGGTTACTCAAGAATCTTCTAAAAACTGCTGAGAAACTTGATGAGGCCTTCAAGGACCTTAATGAGAATGCCAAAAAAAAGAAAGAAAAAAAGAAAAAAGAAAAAAAAAAGACCAGTCAGAAATTAATAGTACACTGTCTGAAATAAAGAATTTATAGAAACTCAACTGTAGATCAACGTACTCTAAGAATCAAACCAAAGATTTGAAATATGAGGAAACAAAAAATACCCAACCAGAAAAACAAAAAGAAAAAAAGATCCAAAAATATGAAGGTAATGTAAGGAGCCGTTGGGACAACTTTAAAAGTACCAACATCCAAATTTTTGGGGTGCCAGAAGAAGAGAGAGAGCAAAATATTGAAAACCTATTAGAAGAAATAATGACCTGATGAAAGAAATAGACTTACAAGTTCAGGAAGCACAGAGGAAACCAAAGAGGACCACACCAAGACACATCATAATTAAAATGCCAAGGGCAAAAGACAAAGAGATAATCTTAAAAGCAAAAGAGAAAAACAGTTAGTTACCTACAAGGGAGTACCCATATGAATGTCAGCTGATTTCTCAACAGAAACTATGCAGGCCAGAAGGAAGTGGCAAGAAATATTCAAAGTGATGAATAGCAAGAACCTACAACCAAAATTACTATACCCAGCAAAGCTATTATTCAGAATGATAGGCCAAACAAAGAGCTTCACAGACAAGAAAAAGCTAAAGGAGTTCATCACCACCAAACCAGGATTACATGAAATGTTGAAGGATATTCTTTAAGAAGAGGAAGAAGAAAAAGGTAAAGATAAAAATTATGAACAAAAAAAGGCATCAAATACATACCTACTAACAAGTGAATCTAAAAATCAAGTGAATAAAAAGTCTGAAGAACATAATGGACTGGTAAATATAATATAATGGGTCAGGGACATAGAAAGGGAGTGGACTGACAATTCTCAGGGGGAAGAGGGTCTGAGGGGTATGGGAAGAGATTGGACAAAAGTCTTATACCTATGGATTATGACAGTAGTGGGGGGTAAGGACATGTGGTGGGGTGGGGAATCAGATGGAGGGGAGCTATTGGGGGAAAAAAAGAGGCACACCTGTGATAAGCTGAACAATAAAGATTTTTTTTTTTTAAAGAAACATCAATGATAAGAGAAAATCGTTGATTGGCTGCCTCCTGGAGATCGAGCCTGCAATCTGGGTATGTGCCCTTAACTGGAATTGAACCAGGAAACCCCCCCCCCCCCCCCCCCAGTCTGCAGGACAATGCTATGCAGCTAGAGTGGTTTTTAATATCTTACTTTCTCTCTTCTTCTGGCACCCCTGTAATTAGAATGTTGGTATGCCTGAAGTTGTCCCAGAGGCTCCTTGCACTATCTTCATATTTTTGAATTCTTTTTTTCTTTTTGCTCTTCTGGTTGGGTGTTTTTTGCTTCCTCATATTTCATATCATTGATTTGATTATTGGGATTCTCTATTCTACTGTTGAATCCCTGTATTTTATTCTTTATTTCAGTCAGTGTATGCTTAATTTCTGACTGTTTCTTTTCTACTTTTTGGCATTCTCACTAAGATCCTTGAAAGTCTCACTAAGTTCTTCAGAGGTTTCTAGAAGATTCTTGAATAACTTTATAATTGTGCTTTTGAACTCTATATCCAGTAGTTTGCTTTCTTTCATTTCTTTCATTTGTGACATGTTTCTTTGTCTCCGAATTTTGTTTGCTTCCCTGTGTTTGTTTCTATGTATTGGGTAGCTATAAATGAGTTGATAGAGTGGCCTTGTGTAGTAGGTGCCCTTTAGGGCCGAGTGGCTCAGCCTGACTAGTCACCTGAGGTGGACACTCTTGATGCACCCCTTTTTGGCCTGTGTGCACAGTTTTGTTGTAGCTGAGCTTTGTTGGTGTCACTAGGAGGAATTGGCTGTGGGGACCAGCTGCAACTGCAGTGGGAGAGCTGCTGTGCAAGAGACACCTGTATGGAACAGGACTTGCTTCAGTGGGGCTTTGGTGCTCACTGAATTTTCTCCTTGACTGTGTCTCTTATGCATGTGTAGAGTTGTAATTTGGTATGGTCTCACATTGACCACTGGGTACACTGGCTCTTGGATCTCCAGGGAGGTGCAAAGTCAGCCACTACCTGAGACCATACAGTAAAAACTACAGATAGATCTTCAGATTCCTCCTCTTTGTATGGGGTTTGGAAGTGCCCAGGTGAGGCCCAGCTGTGAAGCAAGGCCGGCTGGTGCTGGTGCCAGGTCTTGGGATTTTTATTGATGGTCTGGAGCTCCCTGACCTAACTGAAGCTTGTTTGACAGATTTTTAACCTGAGAAAGGACAGACTATTCATATTCAAAATCTGATGCATGCAGCTTGGGTTAGGGGTGTAAATTGGGTGGGGCAGGTCTCAAGGAATCACAAGGATGGAGCAAACAGAAATGGCTGCCATTCAGCCGTGCACCTGGGAATTCCCAGCAAGGGAACAATGACCACTGTGAGCACCTCCATCTGGAAGAAAGCCACTCCTGAATTTCTGCCCCAACGCCAGATAGTCTAGTTTCTTCCTCTATGTGTCTCAGTCCCCCGAGCCTAGTCTGGCACTGGAGTTCAGAGGAAGTAGGAATTTGTAAATTCGTTTGTGGTACTGGCCTTTTAAGAGGAACAGCTAAGTCTCCAGCAGTCTGTGTGTCACTCAGCCCCAATCTGCACTTGTTTTCACAGTCCGTAGTTCTTATTGCTTATAGGGACTTCTTTCCCCAGCTCTGGGACTCTGGGATGGGGGTCTGGTGTGAGGCTGGGATTCCTCGCTCCTCCTAGTGGCCTCCACAAAAGTGATCTCCCTCCCGATTAAAAAAGAGGCAAATGTGGGTGCCGGACAGACCACCGTTCTGTGACTCCATACCTCTTACCAGTCTTAGTGTACTTTCTTCTTTACTTCTTTAGTTATAGTACTTCCATTCAGCCAGCTTTCCAGTCGTTCTGGAAGATAGTTGTTCTATGTTTTAGTTGTAATTTTGGTATGGTTGTGGGCAGCAGTAAGTACAGGCGTTTACTATGCCACCATCTTGGTTCTCCCTCTATTTGCTCTTCTGATTGGGTATTTTTTGCTTCCTCATATTCCAAATTGTTGATTTGATTCTCAGAATCCTCTACTCTACTGTTGAGTCCCTGTAAATTGTTCTTTTTTAAAAAATATATTTTATTGATTTTTTACAGAAAGGAAGAGAAAAGGATAGAGAGTTAGAAACATCTATGAGAGAGAATCATCAATCAGCTGCCTCTTGCACACCCCCTACTGGGGATGTGCCTGCAACCAAGGTACATGCCCTTGACCAGAATCGAACCCCGGGACCTTTCAGTTCGTAGGCAGATGCTCTATCCACTGAGCCAAACAGGTTTCAGTTAATGTATGTATAATTTCTGACTGGTCTTTTTTTTCATGTCATTGACATTCTCACTAAGATCCTTGAAAGTCTCATCAAGATCCTTGAGTAACCTTATAACCATGGCTGTCAACTCTGCACCCAGTAGTTTACTTGCTTCCCTTTCTTTAATTTGTGACCTGTTCATTTGTCTCTGAAATTTGGCTGCTTCCCTGTGCTTGTTTCTATGTATTAGGTAGAGCTACTATGTCTCCTGGAATTGGTAGAGTGGCCTTGTGTAGTAGGTGTCCAGTGGTTCAGCCTCCCCAGTCACCTGAGCTGGGCACTCTAAGTGCACCACTTTGTGGTCTGTGTGCAATCTTGTAGTTGAAACTTGATTGCTTTTGGAATCTCTGGGAGGACTTGATTTCCAGGCCAATTGGCTGTGTCATCTTGGTTCTCCATAACATTTTTAATAGAAAATTTAAAGTCAATTTACATGAAGAGGATTTTTGCATATATTTTATTTTCTACCTTTCTAATTTCTCCTTCAATCTTCAGTCATAGTAGTAATAGAGGCCCAATGCATGAATTCATGCATGGGTCGTCTGGCTGGGCTGGCCCCAATCAGGGCAGATCAGGCTGGGCCTGTCAGGAGGAAGAGAGGGTGGGAGGTTGACTGGTCAGCCTGCCCTGTTCAGGGACCTATCAGGGCAGGGCCGGCTGTGCGGAGGGGCTGTTGGCAGTGGGCTGGCTGGCCACACCCCCAAATGGGGTGGGGAGGCAGTCAGGAGAGGGGAAGGCTAGAGGAGGGGCTGCAGGAAATTAGCCAGCCACCCCTGCCCCCTATTGGACTGGTTCACTGGTCACTATGGGCGTCATAGCGACCAGTCATTCCAGTCATTATATAATAGTATTCTGGTCGTTGGCTTTTTATAGATGTAGATTTCTTTCATGTACTTTGATCATCTGTGAAGACGTAGCTTATTATCTTTCTTTTCCCCAAAGAACGGCCCTTTGTCTCTCTCTGCTCCATAGATGCTTTAACCTAGGCTTTTCCCAGAGCTGAAACTGAAAAGCATTATTGATTTGAAAGTTTCCTGCTTCAATGACTGTAAGTTGTGATACATTATTTCCTTTTTGGTCTCCACACCTAGTGACCATGATAATTTAGATAAAAAAGGTCTTGAACTAATAGTACTACATTTAATCAAATCTAATATGCCACTGATTATAGGAAAGACCATTATTTTACACTTGATCTTAGCCAAAAGACCGAGAAGCGATGAAAGACCATTATTTTATACACCGAAATACTTTGTTTTCTTATACTTGGTGTGCTTCACAGATATTGCTCTTTTTTTTTCTTCAAATTAAAGGCAAGACCCTCCACTAGCAAAAGATTATGAATCACTTCATTGTGATGGTCTGAAACCAAACTTGCAATGTCTCTGAGGCATGCCTGTATCACTGAGAACAAAAAAGAATGCTGCCGAGTTTGCTGCCTTGCTCTTGCTGCGATCCACGAGATCCATGATCAAAGTTGAAAAAATGGTTGACCTTGCCCAGTTAATGGAAAATGAAATATTCATGGCATTTGCCTTCTATACAATGATTGTTATTTCAAAAATGATGTTTATGAATACTACACCTGCATTCTATAGAATAACAAGAAAGGTTTTTGCCAATCGGGAAGACTGTACAAGCTTTGGCAAAGGAGAAAATGCCAAGAAGTACCTTTGGGTTGATGACAGAGTAGAACATGTAGGAAGAGCCCACCTGAATGACCTTGAAAATATTGTGCCATTACTTGGGATTGGCCTTCTCTATTCCTTAAGTGGCCCAGATCTCTACAGCTATCCTGCACTTCAGATTCTTTATTGGAGCACAGATCTACCACACATTATCATATTTGTTACCCTTTCCTCAGTCAAATCATGCTTTAGCTTTCATTCTTGTTGGATATGGAATTACTTTGTCAATGGCTTACAGATTGCTGAAGACTAGATGTACCTGTAAGGAGAATCATAGAATTCATCACCCTATTATTTTCTAAGAATTTTGTATTTCCAACTTATAATGAAAACTGAGTGCATGTATGAGAAACCTATTTCAATATTGCTGAAATGGAAGCATGAAATAAAGAATTTAAAGAATAAAAAAAGAATGCTGCCAATTAATATATGTCACAGTGCCTCAGCAAAGTCCTCATACAGTAATCTCTCATTACTTTGACAATTCTTTCATCTAATCTAAGAGATTTGGCAAAATTGCCAAGTTCAGGTGCATTTCTTAGCATGTGATATACTGGTGCTTCTCAAGCTCGACTGGGCACTTAAATCATTTTGGAGTTTGGTTAAAATGCAGATTCTGAGTCAGTAGGCCTAGGGTGGGGCTAAAATTCTGCATTTCTAATAAATTCCCAGATAATGCTGATATTCCTGGTCACACACCATTCATTGAGTAGAAAGGTGACAGGCAATCTTTTACATAAATCTCCTTAATTAACTGGAACTCCACTTCATGTGCTCATGTGCATCTTCCTTTTTTAGGTATTCTAAAGCATTGATTAATGCTTTGCAAACACCCCCCCCCCCCCAAAAAAAAAAACACAAAAAAACAGTTACTGTAATTTCTCCAACAACAAATATTTACTTTACAAATATAAAATTTAAGTCCCACATCTTTACTACTAGGCCTTTCTTTACATACCATGACTTTTTGCTTCAATGGGTGTATCACAGTGTAAAAATTTTGAAGACATTTTATTATTTTTTTAGGGCCTTCCTGTAAAAGCCAGAAGACCTCCCTGCTGGGCAAATTAAAAAACAGCTGTAAGAACTTGAAGACATTTTAAAGGGAATTAAAGATTAACACATCCAATAGGACAATGAAACAGTTCAACAGAAGAGAATATGGACAGTCATGGCCAAGTTCATGAAGGTATAGGCACAGTGATGCCACAGCTGATGCCTGAAAGACTGAACACAGGAAACAGTCAGATTGGATGACTTATCCTGATTTCTCTGTAATTAAACATGAAAAATATATGTGAAGTATAATTATGGTATATTAAAAGAACTATAACAATAGGAAAGACATTAGAAATGGAACTGTGTAAAGTGCCTTGTGTTGATTGTTCATTCACAGTACATTTGTTGTAGACTACAGGCAAGGCACTGTGCCCTGAGGAAACAGTTGTGAACAGGCAGATCCACAGGCCCTGCCCTCGTGTGGCTTACAGTCCAACAGGAATACTGACATTAAAGAAACACAGTGTATCCTCATTATTTGTGGATTCTGTGTTAGCAGAGGAACTGAAATGAGTCCTTTTTTTCCAGTTCCATTAAGGGCTTGTGTTCTGATTTCCAGCCACCAGGTGGAGATCAAACAAAACTAATTAATGTATTCCCTGTATGTCTTGCCTTTTTTTTTTTAAAGTATATTTTTATTAATTTCAAAGGGAAAGAGAGATAGAAACATCAATGATGAGAGAGAATTACTGATTGGCTGCCTCCTGAACACCCCATCTTGGGGATTGAACCAGTAACAGGCATATGCCCTTGACTGGAACTAAACCTGGGACCTTTCAGTGCAAAGGCAACACTCTATCCACTGAGCCAAACTAGTTATGGCTCTTCCTTATCTGAACAATTCCTTAAGCTAAGTCAAGGGCACAGAGAATTACTCTTTTGTCTTGTAAGTGAGCCACTGACATCTCAGGGAATAAAACCACCTAAATTAAAGCCACATACTAATTCAAAACAAACACAATTTTCAAAGGGAATCATAATGTGTTCAAATCAATGAATAATTTGAAATTGGGAAACCTCTGCATTTTTAATAAGTTTAACAAAACTAAACATATTTCCATGTTAAATTATTGCCAGTTAGAAGACGGCAAGATGAAAAAAAAGAGGAAGGAAGAAAAGCAGACACAGACAGGCTTACACAGAGTGAAACATAGGGTGTCGGGAAGGCTAAGCTGGGGGTGCTGAGGAGACTGTCTGTCCTGGGGTCAGCATCTTCTTGTCCCTGTGCATTGATGAGATATGGGTCAGCAGCCCATAGAGCTCTTTCAAAGGCTGACTAAACTCCAAGCATTCCCTTTCTGGACTGGGAATTGGGTCTGTTTTTTTGTTTTTGTTTTTTGTTTTGTTTTTTTCAAACTTCAAAGTTTAATTTTAAAGCAAAAATTCCTTTTCCTTACATGTGAAAAATTTCACACCATATATAAAAAAATCACTTGAGTTTTTCAAGTCCCCTCTTTGTAACTTTACAAGTGCTTGCTTTGGGGATGAGCTATTCATTATTCTGAAATAGCCAGGCAGCCTTATGTCTATTTTTTTTTTTTAAATTAGAGATTTTCATTCCATTGGAAGTTATAATAATTCTAGTGGCCATACATTGCCAATCAAATCTATTGTCTATGTGAGAGTACAGCCCATGTGTGCATACCTAATTAGAGCCCTGTGAAGATGTTCTTTGATTGGAACAAAGAATTTCCCTTTGGGAAACAGGGGTAACAGCAGACCCTGCTTCCTGCCTCTTGAGGGACCCCAAATTTCAGTTATTATAACTCACCACAAAGAGGGGAAATGGCCCCATGTTTGTAGCTCACTTCTCCTTCTTTCCCAGGAACTCGATGCAGTGAAATGAGGAGCCAGATCCCAGGTGTGCACAGAACTCTGGGAGGGTCTTACTGTTCCCATGAAATGTCTAGAGAACTATCCGGCACAGCTGTCTCTGTAACTAGAAAATAACAAGGGCACTGGAACTAGACCCCTAGTTTCAGGAAAGCCTATCTCATAGGTAATGTGAGGCTTCTATGATGTTACATCATAGGAAAGTTGGTAGTCTTTTGACAAAAAATGCAACAGTATTCACATCTCATCCTATACCAACTGGGGATTTTAAAATATGGAACAACACCCCCCCTCACCCCAAAAGCTAACACTGTCTTTTTATTTAACAAGTACCTGTTTACTTGTAAGAGCTTTAAAACAAGAACAAAATTTTCCTCATTGTAAACAGCTGTGTGACCTTGGAATACTCATTAAATGTCTCTGGGTGTCTTGATGCTGGAACGCGTGTCTCTGGAGCACACATTCCCTGGAGTACCCATTCGTGGAGTGTGGTCCCTGGAGCCTGTGCCAAGATGAGTCACTGGCAGCTGAAGGAAATGTTAGAGCCTTTACTTATATTTTCCCCCATCTGAAATGTAAGGAAAAATATTAAGCTTTACTAATATTGGATATTAGGACCAACAGAATACAATTACATTATTTATAAATGTACATTTTTGGAAGTGTATGCTCAAAATGTTATACCATTAATGACTAATGGACAGAGAAAATAGTGTGGGGTAGGCCTGGGGTTGGGTGGAGGGTGGCAAAGAGGGTAAGAAGTGGGGGACATCTGTAATGCTGTCAACAATAAAAACAAAACAAAACTGTGATTACAGATCTATTCCTTTCAAAGATTAGGCTAGATTTGATGTTTTCAAATTATTGGTTGCAACTTATTTTTTTGGTTTGTGATAAATTTAGTGTATTTTTAAAGAGTGAAATAAAATATTAGAGTGTATTGCTCACAGAAAGAATTAAGCATTATCCTGTAAAACTCTTCAGGTGGATATGTGTGAATACTACGCAATGATATAAAACCTTTCTCCTATTGTAGCTTGTGGTTAAAAAAAATTGAGAAAATGTGGACTAAAACAGTGGTTCTCCAAGTGACATCCTCGGGCGAGCAGCAGAGACCTATGAGAATTTGTTAAAAAGCGAATTCTTTTATACCATCCCAGACTCTCTGTATCAGAAAGTTGGGTGCAGCCCAGCAATTATGGCTCAGCGAACATTCCTGGGGGTTCTGCCAAGTGCTGGAGCCTAGAACCTCTGGTCTAGAACATGCCATGACTCATCTGGTTACAAAGGCTTAAGATTCTGTTAAGATATTCCTTTAAGTAAGGCAATATTTTTCAAACTTACCTAATGATGAGAATCACTTGGTGACTTAGAATCTTTATTTATTTATGACAAACATCTTTGGTGATTCTTGTGATCAGACAAGCTTGGGAGACACTTTAACCAAGAAACATGGAAATTAGAGTCTGTAGAATGTGACTGTTACAGAGCAGAACCCCTGTTGCAGAGAAAACAAATTTAAGGCTAGGAAATAAGCAATTCAAATCAGAAAATTAGAAGCTAAGAACCACCTAAATATTTCTAAATGAAATGAAATGAACTTTCTTTCATTTTGTGTGAGCTGAGCCTGGGATTCTTTCCTGAAACACTTGTTCTTTAGTTCTGCCCAGCACTTCAGCTCTGGCACACTGACTGTTCGAGAAGCACTATTGGAGGGAGCCCTGCATCCCCACAGTATTGCTACTGGAAGCAGGATAGTCCCTGGACTCAGAGAATTTAGGGCAGGCCTTTGAGTAAATGTCCTCAAATTCCTTCAGGCAAGTTTCAAACACTCTGTAGGTTAGAGACCCCACTTGTGTTACTGCTAAATCTACATTCCCAATTAACACTAATAAAAGAGAAAGATGCAAATTGACTGTACCTTTGCTATGCCCACCAGCCACGCCCACCAGCCAATCAGGAGCGAGTATCCAAATTAACCCAACCAAGATGGTAGTTAATTTGCATATCCAGGCACAGAACAAAAACTGAAGACAGCATAGAAGGAAGCCATGCCTACAGAAGGGACCAAAGCTACAGCGAAGCAAGTGGGGTGGTAGAAATGGGAGGGAAGCAGGCGAGGTGGTAGAGATGGCCACAGGAAGCCCTATTCTTGCAGGAATCTTCCTGAAATGGGCCTCTAGTTGACTATAATTAAAAATAAAATCTTATACAAATAATGGCTGCACATTATAAATATATTCAACAAAAATATGTATAAAAATCTGAAAACCTGACAACCCACTTCCATTCTCAGCCTCAACCCCGCAAATAACCATTGCTAACAGTTTTGAAGGTATTTTATGATTTTTAAATATCCAT